ATATCCTGTCGAGACAGGGGCTGAGGCCCGGGGGATGGAGGCTCCACCCCGAGGTGGTGGAGCTCATTTGGAGGGAATTTGGCCAGGCGGAAGTGGATCTATTTGCGTCGCAGGAAACAACACACTGCCCGCTCTGATTCTCCCTCACGCATCCAGCTCCACTGGACGTGGCGGTTAGGGCATTCCTTTACCCGAGGGCCGGGTATGTCCCTAAGGTGCCCACTTCTTCACCAGGGCCCATAGTACTTAAGGCATTCTGTCCTCCTTCGTTCCAGGAAGTAGGCCAAGAAAGCTGCCCCATCTCGACGCAGCATCTTGTTCCCTCGGGGAACCATGGTTACATACGTAACCTAGAGACGTTTCTTTTTTTTCATCGTTGATGAGTAGAAAGTTCAAAAGTGATATGCCTTTCAATTTAATTGTATTAAAAATCTTTACTGTCACCTTTTGATTAATGCATCCTTGCTGAATAAAAATATTAATTTCTTAAAAATGGTAGTGTATGTATTTGGTAAATTGCTGTGGTATGTAGGAGGGACAAAAATAGATGCAAAAACAAACAAAATAAATGAAATGTTCTGGAATATGGTACAATTGGTAGCTAAATGCTAAATAGCCAGATATTTCAGAAACATAATGTAGGATTTATTAGTGTGTAGTAGTATGATGTCAGCTAATATTGGTACATTAATTCTTTACTTGGCTTTATACAGTAAGCAGTAGTATGTTCTCATTTCAATAACAGCAAAATGTTTGTGGATGTGCATTGTGTCTGTTTCATGAGGGACAAAAAATTATGAGGCTACAGTACGTGAATTCATCCTCTTTCCTTTGTTTTAGGATTAAAGCTTTTTCCATTTGCTTAAGATATTCTACTCTACTAAAATGTATGCCACGTACAGTATTTACATCTCTCATTGTGAGATTTGTCTCTCTAGTACTTCATTAGTCATGAGGTAGTAGGTGTTTGTGCTTCAGGGCACAGTTCCCAAAAAGGCATGAACATCTTTTGTGCATTGGAAATTCTGACATGTTCATCATTCAAATGCGTCATCACAGATTTATTAATCTGTTATAATGACTCAACAAATTTGGATTTGTAGAATGTTTTTCATTATAAATGTTAAAATAATTCCAATGACAAACACAGATGTATAAGACTATGACGCATCATGTGCGGGTTTAAATAAACTGTAGAGGCATTATGCAGAGCTTTTAAGAAGTAAGTAGGCCCACACAGATGTTTTTAAAGTTCTACACATCCTGAGCTCCTTTGTTTTTGTCTATGAAATATTTGGCTTACTTATATTATGTGTTAAGCTACCAGTTACACAGAATTTCACAGATTTCCCCAAGTTAAGCTCATTTCACTGCACTTGTGGCATAATGTTAATTTGGTGAATGCTTTCCATTG